TTGCTCTACAACAGAGGCAGCAACCGTTTACTGGAGAAGTAAAATCTTTTGAGCCCTAGATGATCAACAGATACAATATTCTCCTCTTCCACAAATACTCTGAACCCACAGCAGCCCAATCACCTGCATCCAGACACCCACAGGCTTTGCCTGCCCAGTGGAGAGCAGAGCTTCCCAAGAAGTTACCTTGTTCTTCTCCCGTTGGGCACTGGCTTGGTTAGAAAGGGTGTTGGCCCGTGATTTCACAGTAAGGCAGGACTAGGCCCTTTGAGCAGTGGTTTTCAATGGTATGTCCCATTGGCCTATCCAGCCTGAGGTGCTGGGACTCTTCCTTGCCACAGTCACCAGGCAGGCTGAGCGCTACAGCAGTCTGGTGTTGGATAACTCTAAATTCCCCAGGCAGCCCGAGATGGAGCCAGGCCCTCCTCTGTGCTAACACTAGGCATGACACCTGTGCGAAAGGAAGGGGAAAGCCGAGGTGGCCACAGTTGCAACAACGGTACTAGTAGGCTCCAAAATATAAGCCTGGCATTGGGGAGTAATTTAAACAAGGTCAACGTTTCATGGAAATGAGGCTCATCCCTTAACCAAGGGTTGACTACCACAGCACACTCTCCAGGACAACAGCAAAATCTCCATTTCTTGAAATCCTCGGGACCATAGGACTTTCTGGAAGGCACATTTTACTCAAATTATTTGGCTTAATGCCTTAGGACTGGATGGAATTATACGGCCCTGTAACACGAGAGGTCAGATAGATGATTTAATGGTCTCTTCTGGCCTTAAGAAACGTTAACTTGCCCACTTTCCGCACGCTGATACGGACTCATCCCCACTGCCGCGAAAGCCCAGTGTGGGGCAGGCGAGTGTGGGTGGGAAGCCGCCCCCTTGGAAGCAGCCGCTGGCTGTACTCTCAGCTGGGAACCACCCACTTAGCGCTGCCCCGGGCTCTCCGTGCCCACCGAGGGGCACCGGCCCAGAGGAAGGGGCAGCGAGGTTGTGGGGGAGCATTACACGGGACGGGGGAACCTGCTTTGGGCGTGGGGTCTCCAAGGCGCGGAGGAGAGAGCACCCCGGGGCTGTTCCGAGGCCGTTGGGGCTTCCACCCTGAGTAACAGCCAGGCGGGATGTCCCTCCGGCACGGTCTGTCCCCATTCCCGGAGGGCCAAGCCTCAGCGCACGAGACCCCGTTTAGCACCAACCTTCACTCCACGCAGGGGGCGGGCGGTGGGTCTGGGGGTGCTGATGCTGCTGAATTTCCAGGGAGGAGGAGGACTGTCAGTGCCACCTGACCCGCCGCTGCGCTCCGGCGCCCGCGGGCGCGGACTGCCCGGCCCGCGGCGGTGGCGGGCGGAGAGTGCTGCCCCACCGAAACGCAAGTGGAGTGTCCCTTTCGGGGCACCGGGCAGCGAACCTCGAGGCTGAGGCGCTCTGCATGGAGAAATGGGTGCATGCAACCTGCCGGTTCCCTCGGGCGGAGAGGATGTGCCTCTGGCAGGGAGAAACCCAGGCACTTCTGTCCCCCACCGCGAGGGTGCGCAGGCAGCCACGCCGCCGTGCAGCCCTGGCCATGGCACCTCTCATCGCCGTAGGACACCGCCAAGGCTGCTGGGCAGTGCGATGGAGTCAGCGGTGGCTCCCCGAACCCATCCTTACCCAGCTCTCCCAGGTAGCGCCAAGAGCTGACACGTCTGTAGAACGAGCGTTTACGTTTACAGTGCTGGGACTGGAGGGACATTTACAACAAAACAGTCCGGATTCCTGAGGACATTTTCTCTTCCAGCTGCTTTCTAAATATAGCACACGGCAATGCACTACCCAGCACGGCATTCTCGTTCTGGCACTTAAGGAAATTCAAAGTCAAGCTGGAGAAAAAAATATGGAGATAAAGACAAGATAATTTTAAGAAAAACAAAATTAAAATTAGCATCGAGTATTTAAAATCCACGTCTGCATTAAGGTCACCCGAATAGTGAGAAGGACCGACTACTCGTATTTTAAACCAGCTGTCTTTTCCACGGAGACAGTTGCTTGCCTCATGACCCATCGATAGCTTGTTAATACAATTTAATTCTGCAGTTGTTTCTGTTTAAGGAGTGTTTGGAGTGAATTGTTTCTTTTGTTTATGATCAAACAAACGAGGTCTGGTAATCTTATGTTTTATCTTCCTAACATATGGAAAAGCTATTTATCCCAGCCAATCACAATAAAGTGAAGAAAACCCCATTTTATGGAAAGGTATATATCACAAGTTTGTTCATCATTAAAGATATGATTACCAGTGAAAACCCTCCGAAAGTGGCACATTTATGATTCCAGGAACAGATGGGGACATCCATTTTCCTTGCAAATACTTTTGAAATTGCTCTACTGGTAGCAGTATAAAAATGATATACAGATGCCAGTGCCAACGAAGCCGGGACAAGAGGTCCAGATTTACACAGTAAAAGCTTCACATGCGCTCTGTCAGCTTTGATTGATCTGCGCTATACCTCAGAAACTTGTTGACTGGGAAAGGAAACAGTGCAAATAATTCACTGCAACAAGGCAGATAATTCACCCGGCCAATCGCTCCGCTCCGCTCCTCCGGGCGGTGACATACGAGTCCTCCTGCCGCACAAAGAAGCATCATTCTCCAGCGTGAGCAGCGGTCGGTGTCACGGAGAGGGGGGAAGAGGGGGAGAGAGAGAAAGAAAGGTGGGAGCAGTGCACACAAAAGAAGAGGCGAGAAAGGAGAAGTTGCTTTTAGGCTGTGGGCACAGCCATCTACCTTTTCCGTGCCGAGCCCAGGCCGAGCCATTCAGCCCCAATTGTCATTATCATATTGATTAAGTTCATCAGAGAGCAATTTTAGGTTTAACGCCAGCGGACTGGGAGAGGGAGCAAAGAATTATCTAAGAACAGCACAACATTCTTACCTCAGGGACGTTTCCCTGTTCCAGTTCATTGAGGGAGTTGATTAAGTTTAAATGAAGCAGACACTGGATAAAAGTAAGGGTATTGACCACTGGGCAGCACGGTCTGCGCTTGAAAAGGCCTGATACATGCAGAAAAGCAAGATTTGCTAAATGCTCTAATCTTCAATCAAATCTTACATCAATACAGACAAAGTTTGGTAATGAGAGATTCAATGAAGCATGCGGGAGAAAGAATTAATCCTCTTGGTCTAAACTGGGTTCAACTTTGAAGCCTGCTCCGAAGGAAAGACAGTTATCTAAATGCTAAATAAGAAACTTATTGTACTTTTCATGGCATGCTAATCTTTTGTCTATTTCATCTCTATTATTTGTATGCTTATAGGCGGCAGTTGTCATGGTGATTATATCAAACCACTTCTGTGTGGATGGCTGCGAGGAATCAGGGCCTCCCTCCAGCCCTCCGCCGGGGCCAGCCCGCCCGCCCGCTGCTCTGCGCGCCCGCGGCAGCGCCCCGAACCCGCGGCCGGTCCCGCACCAGCCCCGCTGCTCGGCCCGCGGGGACACGGGCGGGGCAGAAATCGTCTCCCTGGCACCGGCGGCGTTTTGTTAGTACCGGTCCCCTCCTCCTTCCCCACATCACCCAACCCAAACCGCAGCGAACTCCCTCCATGAAGAGGTGCTTTTTTCCCTTTTTTTTTTTTTTTTTTTTTTTTTTTTTTTTTTTTTTGTGAGCTTGGCTTGATAAGCTTTTGATGTCACAAATCAAACACTCGCCAGGAGGTAGATAATGGGGAGTGTGATCTCCTTTATTTGTACATAGACGGCGCTTTTGCACTGGCGCTGCCGTGAACCAGTGTCAAACTCCCCGGGCTTTGTTGGACTCTGCCTGCCGCCCCCCAGCCCAGAGCCCGGCTCTGCGGGGGGGCCGCCCCGCTCCCCGCCCGGTCCCACCGGGACCCGCGGCTCCCCTGGGCTCGGGCAGCCCCTGACAAGGGGAATTTAGATTCATGTTATGCAAATGCCGAGGTGAGCGCAGACACTCTAATCGCGCAAGGTTTGGAGAAAAAGAAGAGGGGCGGGAAGAGAGGAAGAGCGCAAGGATTTATATTTGCGGGGGGGTTGTTTTGGTTTTTTTCAACCCCACGTTGCTAACTCTTGAAGGCAGGCAACGGGCTCCGGCCTAAGGGCAGCGGTGCCGGACGTGCTGGGAGGACCGGTCGCCCCGGCAGCCCGCGCCCAGCGCAGCCAAGTAGAGCTATGGTGAGAGGGGGTGGAAATTCCCAGGATATCAATCAGACTTCCTTACTTCTCCTCTGGTACCCGTGAGGGACTAAAGGAGGCTTTTTGAACAGCTCCGGAAGGGAGGGAGCCAACTCAAATAGGTGGGTGCGGGATAGAGGGAGCCTTCCCCCGGCTTGTCCCCTGACATTATAATCTGAGCGCACAAGGGTGGCACCCGAGCTTTTATGTCTTTTACAAAAGTTGCCAAATTAAGGTCGGATTAGGGCTCCCTTCAGGATTTGTGGGCTCTTTAGAGGCTGGGAGCTGCCCGTATAGCTCGCTAGTGCTTATGAAAAGCTTAAAAAGTAATAAAAGGGGGAGTGATCCCGAGAGAAAGTAACATGTATAACTCTTATTAAAGGAGCAGCGAGTGGGGCTGTGAACTTGAATAACTGTTTGAACTTTAATTTGTTCATTAACAGGATTTGCCCCTGACTGTGAATGTTATTACTTCCCTTAAAAGCGAGGTGCAAATGCAAAGCCATAATGAAAGAGCCTGGCAAAAAGTTAAACGCCTCGTAATTACACTAGCCTCATTGAAAACTTAAAGTAACACAAAAGTGAAGAAAACGGGAGCTGGGCTGGTATTCCCAGCGCCCCAGCCTCGCACAACGGTGGCGGCGAGCTCCGGGCCCCAGCTCCCGACCCCATCAACTCCCGATAGCTCCCTATATCCGTATGTGAAAGGGTTGTGTTTAAACAAGTGTAAATCACCTTTAAATCATTAAAAGAAAATTCCATGTTTTCCTAGGTGGGGGAAGTCTGGTTTATTCCTCTAACTGTTCTAAGTCTTGAGTGAAACACGGTGTCTGAAGCCTGATCTAATCTGCATGTTTGTATCCTAAACAGGGCACATTAGCTCCTCTCTACCCCATCACACCGACAGTAGATAAAACTCTGGAGAACCGGAATAAAACAAACTACTACTCCTCTCAGAAGGTACCTGACTTTGTACCGATGCGTTTGCCAGTTAGCTCCGCGCTGACTGTCGTTTCATCTGTCAGTTATCCCTTTCCCTGGCTTGTCAACTGCGTTTTTATAGATTCGCTTGTGATCTGCATCCTTCCTCAACAGGAACATGCAGCCAGGTCGCAATTAAATATACAGATAAGCGAGCTGTTAGCAAGATTCCACCCTCCCATCCGCAGCCAAGCCGGGGAGATGATTGCCCTGTCACTTCTCCTTCAGACTTGAAGCGCCTTAAAACTCGCCGGCAGAGCGCCGCGTTCGGTAGTCCGGCGCTTGCTTTGTCCGCCTCTTCTCGCCACCGACGACTCCTTTCAAGTTCTCACTTCAGCAGCTCCCGGTGGCGCTGAGTCCGGCGCCCCGCACCGCCGGCGCGGGGTGCGCTCCTCGCCCGCAGGAGGGTTTGGCCGGCCTTGGGGGTTCCCCACACTGGGAAGACACCCCGAAAGAGAGGGACAAGAAATATTGACGTGCCCTGGCAAGGCCTGGAGCTGCCGCGCAAGCGGGGCTCTGCCATCACCGCCGGCAGCCGGCAACGCCTCCGGCCGTCCGGATGTGCCTTCCAGCGCAGGTGGACATGGAGAGTCCCGATCGAGCCAGGTTTGCAGTCGTGTCAGACCAGCGGAAAAGCCAGACGGCGCTTCATAAAGAGAGCAGTTGTGAAAAATCTTCTACTAGTTTAAAGTACTTTCTTACTTCTACAGCTGCCTGTACAATAAGAAGATTTATTCTACTAACAAGGGGAACACCTTCAATTAGACCACTATAAATAAATAAATGCCCTATTTTATAAATCTAATTATTTACTTTTTACATTTTCAGCACCATTATACTCATTAAAAAAAAAAAAAAACAAAAAAAACAAAACCAAAACCCCAAACCAAACTATTTAATCAAACTGGTACTCAGAAAAAAAATTATTATACTATTCACAAAGTAAATAACTTCAACTTTCAACTCTATTTGTCCATTCCTGCATGGACAATCAGCGCTGTCACCCCAGGGAAGGTCTGTAAACCCAGCAAATCCAGCTACCATTTGAGAAGCAATAAACACAGACTGGACTTGACCAAGAAGACATCAGACAGGACAGGGATACCATTTTCTGTACGTCAGCTCATCAAAATCGTTGTACTAACTTGGAACTGGAAAGAAACTTTATAAAATAACCAGGTCCCAAGACAGTAGCACCTTAGCCAAAAACAACCCCCTTCCTCTGCACCTGGAGATGAAGCAGCAGGCTGGGCAGGGCATGAAACATGGGTGGAGTGTGTTTTCTGCAAGAAACAGGGCCAAGTCACACAGTGCCATTCGGTGCCACATCTAAGTGGCCTTCAGCTCCCATCGCCCTGCCACCGTATCACAAAAACTCTGCGCACAAGCGACAGGACACTTATCTGATAGTGCCCCTGAAGGAAGAGTCCCAGCCTTCTCACCAGGCAGACGAAAAGCATTCCTGGCAAGGGTTGCTAAGTAATGCGTACCCAAGCTGTAATCTGGTTACTAAACAGCATGACAGCGTCCCGGGAATAGGAGACTTACCACGGCCTTGGCCGTGCAATGACCACACACAGTACAGGCTGTTGTGCTCACACCGCTGTACTGTGATGTGACTGCACAGCATTTCTCGCAGGATCAGGGCAGGAACTACCACTATGTCGTTTGTTCCCCCCATCTAATCTCTGACGATTGCTTTAGATTTGAAGATAATGTGATACAGCTCAGATATATCCAAGGCTTCATCACGCATTGATTAAATTGTTCAACTTCACCCAGTAGACTTGATTAACTGCAAACTTGGAGCTGGGTGTCACCTTCATATGAGCACCACAGGCCTGCCTACAATAGGAAAGACTACCCACAGGCTGGCAGGAGGATGGCAAAATGGAGCCTGCCAGAGCCCCCCAGACTCCCCTTGGGTGCAGAGGCTACTGAGGCTTCTCAGAGAGCAACTGTTTATGGGAAAGCAACACCCTCGGCAGCTCATAGGCCTGAGGATGTGTCATCTGCTGGTCAGGAGCCCATCAAAGTGAGAAAAGATTTTTTAAAATGAGTAGGGCATCTATTTGGCTCACAGGAGATATTTTTCATCCTGGACAGGGCAGGGTGCTTACTGCTCCCAGCAATGCTGGGGTGAGAGTTAGGCCACGGGGGTTTGTTATCAGGCTACAGGAGTGCTTTGCCACAGCTTCTCCAGGCTGGGGTGGGTTGAAAGATGCACCTTCTAGCTTCTGCCCTGGTACATCACTAGCACCCTCACCTTTGGAGACAACATGAATTCTGCTTTAAAATAAGCACTGGCAGATCAATCCTCTGTATATTTCTGATCATATAATGCATGCAATTCGACCTGCAAGATATATGGATTGTAACACTTTCACAAATCAGCATTTCACACAGTACATCCTGCTCCTGTGAGCTAACCTTGTCTTCAGAGCTGACAATTCCCAGCATCATCGCTTTGAAGCATTGAAATGGTGAGTTGGCAATCTACTGAGCCAGAACGTACGTCTGAAAATAAGTATATAAATACTATACAGTGCATCTGGAGTTGATTTATGAAATAGTTAGGAGTTAAATTCTTGATATATTAGCAAAAATAACCAGAGCTTTAAAGCCAAGAGGCCCTTAGGCTGTAGTGAAAAATCATTGATGTAGGAAAAGCATCTGTATTTTGATGACAGTGCTATCTCACAGGAAAAAAAATCATAAAACTGTTTTTCCTTGCCGCAGATAAAAAATAAAAGTGATTTTGCACCAGCTGCGTGAACCGCTTCCTAGTGAAGCGTTTGCATTTTAACTTCCGGTTATTGGCGATCCAACTTTATATCGCCGCGTGAAACCGCCTGCTTCTTCGCAGAGAAAATAATGAGAATAATGACAAACAAAAGCAAGTCCCTGTCCGGCAGGGTCTAGAGCCTGCGTGGGGGATTCCCCTTTCCCCGGGGGTGCGGCAGCTGGCGAGGCTCCCCGGCGCGGCGGGAGCGCTGCCCGCCGCAGGGAGGGAGGCCCGTGGTGCCCCCCAACCTGCGCGGCCGGGGCGGGACGGTGCGGGGCCTCGGCACCGCCACTCGGCACTTCGCTACGGATTTACCCCAGCGCCCTCTGCGCGTACAGCCTTTTTTTTTTTTTTAATATATATATAAAAATATATTAATGAACTCGGTTGTATAATTAAAATTAAAATCGTTTTTATGGGAATTTTTTTATTTCCACGCGGGGACTGCAGTCCGCAGATAACGGTAGCAGCAGGGTGGCACCTGCGAGCATCGCCGGCTCTGTGTCACCGCGGCTCCAGCGCCGTGGCTGCCGGGGAGGTGTCCGCGGCCATCCGAGTCCCTCGTCTAGCTCAACAGAGACATATATATAGATAGATTTGATAGGTATAAGGAAACAATCTATCTATTTTTCTCCTTAGCAAGGTTCCCCAGCGGGTTGTGGGGGCATGGGGAGCCTGGCGGGGCGGTGATCCCCGCCTCGGCGCCGAGCGGCAGGGTCAGCGCTCCGCACCGGCTCAGCGGCCGCAGGGAAGGGCCCGGCCCGGGCGGGGCGGGGCGGGCGGCGGCACGCGGTGCCGGCGGCGGGGCATGGGGAGCGGTACTTACGGAGCCGCGGCCCTGCCGGGGCAGCGGGGCGGGCGGGGCAGGGGGAGCGGTACTCACGGAGCCGCGGCCCTGCCGGGACGCGGAGCGGGCGCGGAGCCGTCTCCGCCGCGCGGGAGCGGCGCCCCCTGGCGGCCGCGGGCGGGGACGCCGCAGCCCCGCCGTGTCGGTGTCGCCGCCGCCGCCGAGGCGGGTCCGTCCCGCGGGCCTTGCTTGTCCTTCCCGTGGCCGCTCCTGCCGCGCCGTCCTCGGGCGGAGGCGATCAATCAGCGCCGCCAGGTCAATCGCTTCACGCCGCGTCACGGGGGACACGCGCATCAGGCGCCCGGCCCGCAGACACCGCGGCTCCGCGCCGCGCCCGCGGGTGCTCCTGTCCCGCTCACAGCTCCCCGCCGGGATCCCCGCCCAGGCACAGCCCAGCTCACCTGGCCCGGTCGCCTCCCCTGGCTCGGCTCGGCTCTGCTCGAGCAGGGAGCCGCCTGCTTTTCCCCCCCGCCCCCGCATCTGGAATCCTCAATCAAGAGCCCAATTTTGTCATTTGGAAACACTAATTATCTAATCACGCCACGCTGCAGAGCGTACTTGTCTGCCCAATTAGCTAGGACAATTATTAAAATTCGGGGGCTTAATTATGTCTCAATTTAATGCTGGCAAACTCGCGCACAGCGCAGTAATTAAAATCCTCCCCTCGCCTCTGCCTTTAGGGCAGCGGCTGATGGGACCTGTCAGGGGCCGCGCCGCGCCGAACCAGCCGAGCGGATTGTGCTACATGACCCCGCATTGTTAAGTGTGTCAACATATTAACCTGAATTCCCTTCAGCCCCCGTAATCACATTTGGAAGGAGGAAGAAAAGGGCTAAAACATGAAGCATTTTATTAAAAAAACATAAATTCTTTTTAATTAATGCTGTAAGAGATCTGACGCGGCTCGAGCTACCAAATGCTGCAAGTCATATAAGACTGGTGCTTCTAATTACCAATAAAGGAAGGTTTGCTCTTCTCTGTTAAAAAGACTTCCCTCTCCTCTCATTTAAAGAAAATGATCTTTCTTTTGGGTAGTGTATTTTTTAAAACCCAGCTAGTTGGCTTCCAGTGATAAAGTTGATTACCAGTTTTTTGTTTGATGATGGAGCACAAGTGAATATTGACTTCTGCAAGAATCAAACAGACGACCGGAGGCATAAATAAAACGGTCAGGATTTAACACTTGAAAGAAGTTAATAAAGTTGAAAATTAAAAATCATAATATTGGGATAATTTCTAAATATTTATTTTTTCTCCGCTCTCAAATTTGATAGGAAGTCAGTGCTAAAACACAGACAAGAATTGGAGTTAACCCTGTCATCTGCATTCCTGCCTAATCTAGCACAGGCACTTGCCACAGACAAGAAGTCCCTGAGCCCACATCCCTCAGTGATGGCCACTGCAGACACAAGACCGGTCCTCTGGCCTTGCCAGCAGAAGCCTTCCCTTTTAGCACATCTCTTTTTGACTGCCAAAGAAGGTGGTTCCTTCATCTCCAGTTAGTGAGTTCTCTGGTGTTTGGGAATACAGAAACAAACCTTAATTCCCTGGACAGGGAAGGCCTGTCTGATGTATGGGAGGGAGGGAGAGAGGGGGCTTCATCTCCCACAGTGCATGCCCTACATCTTGGAAAAGGCCTTGCTCCCAGTCTCCTCAGATGGTAAACTGAAGTGCAAATCTGTGTTCTGGCTTGTTCCAGTGGCTGTCAGCGTGTTTTCCTCTTGTCAGCAGCAATTGACTGGCCAGGTTCACCCTTGTACAGTGATTGTAACAGCTCATTGACAGACTAGTGACCCAGCCGGACCTGATAATGGAAAACTATTGATTTCTGTGGGCTCAGCAGTTCTAAAATGAATGCCCAATATAATGTCATCAGCTGTCTTGGACTCAGATATCCCTTGGACTTGGATAAAGAGACAATTGCCTATCCTGGCAATTTACTTGCAAAAAACATCCTGGATACAAACAATGAAGTGGCCTCTCTCAGTTTCTCTCCAATAAGCAACAAGCAATCAATGCCCAGGAAAATGTCAAGAAACTGCAGCCCAGATGTGGTGGTGACTCAACTGTCCCTTTAACCAAGGAGGCCCATGACAGCCTCTCCAGGTTTTAAATGCTTGCCACTGAAGAACAAGCACGTAGGTGAGTGACACTACACTCCACAGCCATCCACCAGCCCCCAGAGAGTAAGGCAACAGGCAGAAAGGCTGCCAGGAGATGTAACCCGATAGGGACCATACTTAACTCTCACCTGCAGGAAAGCAAAAAGGTTTGAACAAGCCCATGATGCTTGAGTTAATCATACCTCCTCCTGTGTCACAACAAATGCTTGGGGCTGAGGAGGATGTCAGATAATAAATTCTGGTTAAGAAAAATTGAATAATGCAAGGTGAAATTTTAAATTTGTACAGCAGTCCTCATACAGTTGAGATGTTTTTGGACAAAAAAGTACTGCAAGTACAGTTGAAATTTTGGGAGGGGGGAGATCAACGTTTAAAGATTTGTAGAATTGTATGGACTGTTTGCCATAAGCAATACCATATATAAATTTAAATGGGAAGAGACATGAGTATGGCAGCCTTCTTGGAAAATATTTAAATTTGGGGGGAAAAGCAAGAGCTCAAAGATTCAAAACTCAAAGCACTTTTTGGTCCTCGGGAGCCAAAGTGTGGTCTGTCCTTCCTTAGTAGATCATTTCCACACAGATAAAGCTCCTGTCACTTCCATGTCCCTGTGGCTGACTGACAGAGCTCAAACCTCACTGACACACAGGCACATCAGCAAGTTAGGGTGTTGTTTACCAGCACAAGGTCTGTGGAAATGGGGATCAGACAGATACTGGCTTTCTGTGGGATACCAAGAGCTTGCAGGAGAAGTTTCACTGTGCCCCAAATCTCTTCTGTAGTGCTTGGAGCCTTCCAGAACTTAACTCCTTCCTGATGAACCAAGTTTTCTATAAGGCGTGGGAGGAGGAAACAAAGATACTTACTCTGGCAGATGCCAGCACACATTTAATTCAAGCTCTAACACCAGTGTTGATTAGAACAGCTTTGTGATCCTGGCAAAAAAAATTCAAGTGACCTTGGGGAGACATATTTTTAATTATGAACAACTGGTAAGTTTTATTACAAAAATAACAGCCCTTCTTGAATGCATTTCCATCTTTTGTAGCCTTCTGCTCAGTGGCTTCTCCTCATAAGTGCCCCATACCCCTTGCATCGTTGCTGTCCATGACACACGCATGTGTGCATTGCCTTAGCCTTCCCCTGACAACAGGCCCAGCTCTGTGATGTGCTACATACACTCGTCAAGAGGAAATGACTGCACGGATTACGATAACATGACTGCCGCTGAGTACCTTTCAGTTTCTACACACTTCCCACTGCATAGCCTTGGCTCCCTCTCCTGAAGACAGCTCCTGAACCCACCTATCTCCACTCAAGCTTTTACTTCATGTTCAATTTCCATATGTTGCTTTCAAGCATTTCTCTTCTTGGCATCCCCTCAGGGCCTGATCCTGTGAGAGTAACTGTGCCGCACCTGAGAAGCGTTAAACAAGGCTGTGCGAATTGCCGAGTACGCTTTGGGGTTTGCTTTTTAAATTATCATTTTGAATGAAATTAAATGTAAATACTTTCAGATCTTTGTTTTGTTTACCTGAAACAACCCCTCAAACATTTTCCATTAGCTAGAATGAGGAGCTTAAGTCCTTCCTATCCACCTTGCAGAAGGTTTTTCAGAGCATCAGAACCTCATGGGTGATGCTCAGCCCCAGATGTCTTGTCCCTGGAGAGGCTCAGTTCTTTTCTCAGCTCCTTTCCCATTTGTAAGAACCCCAAATCTCATGTTAAGCCAAGCGCAGATAACATCTCCATACTACTCCCTCCCTAAGTACAATGAATATATTCAGGCCTTCGGATAGAACCTCCTGAGGCAAGGATTATGCTCTGTAGTATTACTTTTGTCATATTTTCCCTGTTGTAATGTTCCATGTACATTTATGTCATTTATAAAATACAATTAACAGACATAGTGGAATCCACAATGGCCCAAAGAAGGGAATAACAGAAGTAGAGTAACCATGTACATTTTCTTCCTACAACTATGCTGGCTGTGGTGACCCATTCCCAACCAGCGAGTAGTAAAAATGAAACACAATTCTGAATATTTAAAAAGTATGGCAAAGCTGTCCATAGTTCTCTTTCACTTAGCAGA